GGAAAATATTCTTCAGTAGGACTCGTTAAAGGTAAAGGGTATGGCTTTCTTTTAATGAGCAAGAGAAGGACTACCAAGAAGGTAGGCAAGCATAGATTTTTAGGAAAAAGAACATATGGAAAAGAAAGATATGGACAATTGCCTTTTCAAGTTGTCTTAGCTTGAGTTTACTAGAAGCAGAATCCTAAAAGAGTGTTTTTGTTCAGGATATTTATCGAGTGTTTATGAATAGGGCAATAGGGAAGCAGAATGGAAAATAGGTAAAAGCCAAGGAAGAAAAGAAACCCAGCTAGAAACTAGCTTCAGTATTTTATGATGAGAAACTTCCTCCATTACTTCACAAACATTGGCCTGGAGTATGCCGAGAGGACACAGAAGACAGCTTGTGATAACTGCCTGGATAATGAGGCTCCAGTCTGTCCTAGATTATAGGTGACTCTCCAGACAATGGGACAGCTGGGATGGAGTGAAAAACAGTGCTTCTTCAGTTGTGCACCTTCTGGCAAAATTGATCTGAGCAGGGGACCTACACATCCACGACAACCGTCCATGACCCTGATCCTTTGCCATTTCAATCACGTCTGATGATTATCCCTTCCCTCTCCCACATCAGTTTTCTCCTCTGCTAGGTAAGACCCATCTTATCCCCCTCTTTCTATTATTTACCCACCTTAAACTAAAACAACATAAAAGAAAACAAAAGCTCTGTAAGCAAGGAAAGCAAACCCATTTGAGGTACAGGCATCTCTTCTGTAAAATTGACTCAGTGCTCCTCCAAGCAAAAGAGTCTTCTGCGGGTGATAAGAAGGTCAGTTTCTCTACTTCTGCAGGGTCAGACATTTAGTATAGCAGGATAGCCCTTGTGAGAGAGGGTCTGTGTATAGCCTCCATGCCTGAAAGCCTGCCCATTCTTTTCATAGATCATGCCTATGGCAACTACTAGAGAACTCTTTTGAAGTGAATTCCTCTAAAGGTGTACATTTATTGCTGTCAATCTCCTAGGGATACCAAAAATGAATCTTTTTATTTTTTAAACCAAATTGCCTGATCAGGGTACTTTTTTGCACAAAATAGCTAGCATGGTTTTGAACTTAAAACCTACATGAAGATTTGCTTAAGTCCCAAATTCTTCCCCCACCTAGGCAAATTTCCTAGTTCCCTTTCTTTTGTAGTGTTTATTTCCCATGACCCATAGACTTAAGTTCCTTCAATCCTTACACTGAGAATGTAAAAACCTGTGGTCCCATTTTTGTGAGTTGCTCTTATTAGACATCATTTGAGTTTTTCTAGATGTAGAATTGACAAGTTTTGAGTTGCACGTAATCATCTTCAGTATTAATGAAAAATCGTTTTACAAATTGATTGTTCAACTTTGTTTTCCCACCAGGACACCAAAAATGTTCTCAAATGTTTCACATTGTTGCTAGCCCTTAATAGACCTTAATTCTTCCACATATCCTGGGTATAAAATGTTGGCCATTGCAATCCAATGTGAATCATCACTATTATTGATTTAGTATATTTTCCTTTATAAGCTATTTCTCTGAAATTTGCCCAATCTTTTTTTATCTCTTTAATTCATACATAATTACATTCTTGATGTTTTAACATAATTCCTTCAATATCTGGCATTCATGGTAGGCTCAATCTGTTATTGTTGTTGGATGTTTTGGGGTTGTTTGTTTGGTTGGTTGGGTTTTTTTCCTTCTTGCTGACTTTAATATTTATGGTATCCTCTTCCTGTAAAGGAAGAGGTTTGGTACATTTGGCCTCTTCCTGTATAGGTTTGGTAATTTGGTTTTGAAATTGATCTACGTAAATGTGTAATTCCCAAACTTGGGACTGTTTTTCAGCCACAGTGAATTTAAGTTTTCCCAGAATGAGTAGTTCCAATTGACTTGGAATGATTTATCTTTTATCCTAGGCCTCTGTTTAATGTAGAATCTCTAGCAGACATTCTCTGCTTTGCCTGGCTCCAAGATTTACTTTTCATTCCTGCATGACAATAACATGGACATTTTCCCTAACGGTAAACAAACTTGCCCATACCCTTCCCTTTTCAGGTGCTTTCTCCTTATTGTTTTTTGCACAGCTTACTGTTGATGTGTGCTTGGAGGAGGTGAGGCGGGTGTTACTGCTGAGGAATCAATTTTCTCTTTAGTGAGTGCAACAATGTGAAACATATAGGCCATCATAATTTATTCCAGATCTTTGTGCAATAGTAGTGGCAGGCTCTCAGCCTATCTAGCCTGTTGGAAGGATTAGTCCCTAACTATCTACTATTTGATTCTGCAGTTAAAGATACAATTCTATTTCTGCCCATGTTTTAAATAGTATCTTTCAAACTATGGAACATGAAAATAATTTAGTAGATTGTAAACAGGAGGAAACAGACACTTTAGATTATTAGTGTGAATTCCTTAAAATTATAGAAAGTATTAATGAGGCCTATAAGATATTTTCTGAAGTTATGATTAAAAAATATTTTGAGTCACTGCTCTTAAGTTACTCTCAAAAGTCAGTTCTATAATATTCTGAGACCCTTCAAGCAGTAACATCTACCACTCTGAAATACTATAGCATTTTGATTATATTGTTCAAATAATGCTTTTGCAGTCAACTTTTTAATTATATCCTTTTGTTATTTCATTTATTCAATATTTATCTCATTACCAATGCCAAACAGTAAGTATTTTTGGCATCTCATGTAGATCAGGATAACAAGCTGCAAGTTGAATGTTATGTTCTCCATTTTACAGAGGAGGGCACTGAGGTACCAAGAGACATTATGTAGCTTGTCTGCAATCACCTAGGTATGCAATGGCTGATTCAGGATCATAACTTCTGCCCTCCTATCTCTGAAAACCTATGTTCTTGTATACTTTATCATACCACTTTTGTATAACAGAGATTCTTGGATTTATTTTTGTAACTCTTAAACATATACTAATATTTCAATTATGACCATGATTGAGAGTCAAACTTTAAAGTATGTGTCTATTAATAATTTGTTTTTATTTTTTAAAGTTTTATCTTCACAACTATGATTTTTAACATAATTTTTAAAACTGATAGGACATTTTGGGAATCTTTGTTGTCAGGGTTCAGACTGAGAGTAGGAACTATTTTTATATTCAAGCAGCATGTGTAGAGCTTAAACTAGCTGATGTTCATTTCCAATCTGTGCATCTAGGCATCCTGGGGCACACAGTAAACTTGCAGAAGTACCAAAAGGTCTGTTCAATATCTGAAAGATATTGTAAAAGAAATACAGAGACACCTGTGAGGCACCACCTACACTATTATTATTATTAAGTTTGGGGGCCTAAATGTATAATAAGGAAACTCTAAGACATTTATTTGGGTATTTTCATTCCATGAAATAAATTACTGAGACACTGAAATTACCATGAATGGCGAAAGTTTGGAAAGCACTGATATAGATAGAATCTGGAGCTAATGTCTCTGTTCAAATCACAGCTCTGCATGTTTTAAAGATGCTCAGCACATGATGAGTAAAGCTGTTCAAAAACAAATAATAATAAGTGAATCATTCTATCTCCAGTTGGCATATAATGGACACTTGTCAAATGACCAATGACTAAATGAATAAATGACGGAATAAGTGCTTTCACAAAAGCCATTTCTTCATAAGAAAGAAAAAATAACACCTGGTTTTTATTCTCAAGTTGCCTTCACAAATATCTGAGGGATGTAGTCTTTCCTGTTTAAAGGTTGAGAAAATTCAAACCTATAGGCAGGGACTCAGATATCTCATGTGTATGTAATGTGATGTGTCAAGAACAAATAAATGGGAGTACACTACATTCTGGCTATGATGATCAGTAACATTCTTGGAATGAAAAGGAGAAAGATATCAAAGCTTGTGATTAACTTCAAAACAAGATATTTAATCTTTTTTCTTTATATTCATATTTCAATGATACCATTTTATTCAGAGGTAATCCTTCCCAGAGAATGTCATTAGCTAGCCTGTCAGCTCACAGCTAACCAGAAATCACCTTGAACTGATTTGCATCAACCTTGTATTTAATACTGAGGATTTTAAAAACCTGTTTGAGTTTTTCTTCAATGAATTGGAGAATTAATTCTGGAAGGCTGAGGTAGCTTGAAAACAATTACATCTTTTTTATATGCTATTTTCAATTAATAAAAATAATAACATGAAAAAGTGATTTGTTATTTATCTCGTAGCTTTTCTTTCAGCATAGTTTGTCTTTTCTATAAATTGAGAATTGAATCTAGAGACTAAATCAGATTCATGTTCAATATTTAAGGAAAATTACTTCAAAAGGGGCTTGTCAGCTTCTGTAAGATCCAGCTGTCTTTGTGTGATATTAGCAGCTGTTAATGATCAACGCCTAAACCCATTAATTCATTAGGGTTTGTGAAACTATGTCATAATTCTTTCTCCATTCATTAGCTGCAATAAATCTATGAAAAGAAATTTCTCTACTATTAGGTTACTCGGTGCTACAGTTTATTTAAAAAAGATGAAATAAATGCTTACTTATCTTTAGCAGCTAGTTTTCAAAATGCAGTTCTGGTTAACATGCATCCTCCAACTGTGGACAATTATTTTCCTTTTGTGTTTATTATCTTTAAAAGATAACGAATTTAAAAATAGTCATATATTTAAATCCATTGAGAATTTATTGATTATTTGGGCATTATTGATGCTCAAATTATTTTGACTTCAACAGAAGGAACCTGTTTATTTTACTACAAATAACAAAATGTTCCAAGTTCATCTTATAATTTTGTGGCCTAGGACTGGATTTGGCTACTTTGTAAGGATCCTGGCTCCTGCTTCAAGGCATGGCATTTCGTGGCCACAAACTATGCTGTAGGGGATGCTCATGGGTCCCTGTGAAATATACTATTAATATTAGTGTCGCTTCTTTCTGGCCTGAACCGCCATCTTCCAGTAATTTGCCAAAATGATGAACACATAGGGAAAGAGGAGAGGAACCCGGTATATGTTCTCTAGGCCTTTTAGAAAACACAGAGTTATTCCTTTGGCCACATATATGCAAATCTACAAGAAGGGTGATATTGTAGACATCAAGGGAATGGGTACTGTTCCAAAAGGAATGCTCCACAAATGTTATCATGGCAAAACTGGGAGAGTCTACAATGTTACCCAGCATGCTGTTGGCATTGTTGTGAATAAGCAAGTTAAGGGCAAGATTCTTGCCAAGAGAATTAATGTGCGTATTGAGCATATTATACACTCTAAGAGCCGAAACAGCTTCCTGGAACGTATGAAGGAAAATGATCAGAAAAAGAAGGAAGCCAAAGAGAAAGGTACCTGGGTTCAGGTGAAGCGCCTGCCTGCTCCCCCCCACCCCCCACACACAGAGAAGCACATTTTGTGAGAACAAATGGAAAGGAGCCTGAACTACTGGAACCTATTCCCTATGAATTCATGTCATAATAAATGTAAAAAAAATTAAAATTAAAATAATAAAGGCCCGTGTACTATAAAATGCTTTTTTAATTGAAAAAAAAAATATTAGTGTCACTCTTGGTCCTTTCATCTCAAACAGGAACAATTATTTTTGTGTTTCATACTTATATCTCCTTTCTCCCATGCTGAGAGATCTCAGTTGTACTATGGACAAGTACGAGCTTGCATGAGTTATTTGTCAAAGCTCCATGATACCAACATCACTTTATTAGAATAACCATGTGGATGTGATTACTGTAAGAATACAAATTCTATTCTAATTCTTATTGTTTTAAATATATGTTACATATGTAGGTACAGAGAAGTTATTTTGTTTCTAAGGGCTTGGGTGTTGCATTCCTATGTGATTATAAATATGTGATTATATCAATTGGATACACATTTGTGTTCCTTTATAATTTTGATTTTTTAATATTTATAGATTTCTCTCAAAAAATCAATATAAAATTTATTTATTGAAAATTTTTTTCTATATTTTATATTTATATTATGTGGGATTCATTATGCCATATTTGTATATGTACTTAATTTGATCAATTTCATTCATCAGTACTTTCTCTTTCCCTTCCTCCTTCTAATCTGCTTTCTCTATTCTACATATTTCCCTTCTATAATAAAAATAATTTTATCAATAGATTATAATCACATATATTAGAGGTATTTACTCTGGTATATATGTACTTGTAGAAAGCATAATTTGAAAGTTTTCATTCCCCAATACTTTCCCATGCCCTCTCCTCTTCCCTCTCTCTTGATTTCCTTCCTCTACCCTATTGGTCTCCCTTCTAGAGAATGGATTTCTAAAAAATTATGTAAGATAGTTGCATGTTTCTAAACAAACCAGGAATAGTCAATTACAGCTTGCTTTTATCTCTGCCTTCCATTTTATTGCATCAATCTCATTATAGGTGACTTTTTCAAAACTGCTTCTGACTTATTGTTATACATTTTAGAACAAATACATTTATATATTTACATATTGGTTACATATAACATAATGGGATTTGCAAATAAGCAATTTGTATATTTCTCAGTGTCACTGAAAACATTATATACAAATGTTGGTGGATATATACATATGAATGGATGGATGTGTTATTACACACTGCATACTTTTGTATACATTGATTTTTTTCCTCTAAAAGATAGTGATCCATAGTAATACAGAGAGACAATTAGCATGTGTTAGATTTAGCTTTGTAAGATAGCGTCAATATTATTTCTACTAATAAATGAGTTATTCTATTTGCACATATTTATGTAATTTCTATAAATTGAGTCTTGTCAAATCATGAACATAGGTGTGCACGTGTGCACAGACACACACATGCAAACACACGCATGCACACTTTTATCAATGCATTTGTTTCCTTTTCACTTCTTGCTGAATTTGTATTCTACTACTAACAGGTTTTTTTTTTTCCCCACTAGATTTTCTCTCTGTATAATCTGTCCAATCTGGATGTAGTAACTCTCAGTTATTTCCAGGATTCATATACCCAAATCTTTGGCCACTATAAACTTTATAGTGAATCCCTTTGACTCACCTGTCAAATGAAATACAGGTAAAATTATTTCCAGCTTCAGTAGTTCTTGTAAAGTTGGCTGGCACTCAGTGACGTGGTATTCTTTTCTAGAGGACTCACACCCCCTGAAGCTTTCCCTTATTTCTTTTCCTACAGATGCTGAAACTGCCTGAGTCTTTTACTGAGGGAACTTTGATCCTGTCTACACATTTTGTGGTGTTCATTTACGGGCTCATTCTCTTACTTGAATTTTAAATGTGACCCATGATTTTTAGTTTCTCTAAACTAATTACTGTTAATTTATGGGAATTTTAAAAAGGAGTACTGTTGCCACCAGAATGTTAGAATAATTTTTTTTATAACTTAATTTTTAATGGGGAAAATAAAATCACCTGCTAAAACACATGCTTAACAGGGTTTGAAAATAAATAACCACAAGTCATTTATGATAACATAATATTGATATTAGAGGTGTGGTCCCTTGGGGAATTTTAATTTGTTGAATGTGTGATTTAATGAATGGGTGTTAAGCCAGGTGGGTTTCCCTGTCTCTCCTTTACTGCAGAAGATCAGGGAGATTTGGGCTTCTCACTGTCTTTGATGGCATTCATCATTCCTTCTTTTTCCATATTCTTACCCTTTTCCCCAGCCTTCCCCTGTCTCTATAGTTAAGAACAAATCTAATTGTAATGATTTTCCTAGCCAATAACTCTATAAAGATACTAAGGCGAGGCAATAACAAACATGGGAAAGTTGGAAAGGTTATTGGACTTTGTAAAATTTATTGTTGCCTTGCCTGTTTATAGTTTCTCAGTCCCCTATGACATGGTAATTGAAAATCCAGTTTGACTTCTTTCATTCACTCAACAAATAGCAATTGAAAAGGGGTTGCATATCAGCCGCTCTACTTGATTCTAGACTCACTAAATGTTAGTCTATTTTAGGTACATGAGGTTTTGAGTTCTGATTTTATCTTCACTTTCTGATTTTAGCTTCTGAAGCAATTGAAGTCAAAACATTAACAGAGAAAAACTCACCTGTGAACTTACCTCAGATGTTTCATTTGATGACTTATGTACTCCACCAGGTCATTCTCTCCTTCTCTAGTTGCTCTCTTCACATATTCCTCCCTACTCTGAATTTATTTCTTCTAAAGTATTCATAGGCTACTGAAGTAGGTGTGATATTGTTCGGTTTTGTTGTTGAATATCTAAATCAATGATGATGACTCAGACTGACACTGATCAGAATTATGAGGATCCTAACTTTGGCCTTCAGCTATTAAAAGAGAGTTCCTCAGATCATTTTTTTAAAATTTATTCTGAAAATATTTTTCAAGCATGGACAGTGTTCCAGATACTAAATTTATGCCCAGAGTTACACTAAAAAGAAGCCTATGATCACAGAGAACATTCCAAAGAGAAAGGCATATACATACAGATGTAGATGCACACACACATAACAGGATAGCAAGAAAAATTAACACAATTCCACACTGCTGGACTGCATATAGAAATTTTAAAAGATAAAATTATATCATTTAGAGTTTGCTTTAGATTTATAGATTCAAATTCTGATCCACAAATTAGCAGTCATGAATACAATTCAAAATTCACCTCATGTGTGACAACACAAATTAGTAATCATATTCCAATTATAAATCCATCCATAATCTCTGTCATCCCTGTTGGTACATTTTTTTTCATTGACCTTGATTTAACTTCTCTTGACTGCATTTCCTGGGATCACTACATTTTAGTGATTTTCTGTTACAGATTATGTTCTCTTCTCTAATTTTCCCGTGTGGAAGGAACATTAATGACTACTATCCTTAGAAAGGAGAAGCAGCCCTGGAATCACAGTGTTATTGATATTAATTAAAGAATTCTGTTCCCCTTCTCATGAAAGCTCTTGTAACACAAACATTCTTTCTCTTCTTCCCCCATTTTCCCCTTTCTCTCTTAAAACACAGCACAGTTTATCAAGAGAAATAATATATAAAAGTTGTTTCCTATAATGTATTTTATTTAACTTTTGCTTTTTATTTCATCTATATTATTGCTGATGAAAAATTATCAATATGAAAATAAACAATTATGAAGGATATCATATAATTGCATTCCTTATTGAATACCAGTGTCATGTTTGAGAATTTTCTTACTATCTAAAACCATTTCATCTTAATATATTTACATATAAGACCATCTTTAGATGTCAAGCACTTAGGAGGTAAATTACTCGTATACTATTAAGTGCTGTCTATACTGGTTCTCTAAATTTAGAAATGATACACACTAGACAAAAACCCAGGGTAGAATGTTGGTTTTGACATCTGTCTATTATGTAACCTTGGAAATGTTATTAATCTTCTTTTGCAAAATATTCCTTAGGAAAGATTCTATTATCAGTCTACTAAAATAACTATATGAAATTCTTTATTTTAAAATACTTTATAAATCATACTTACTTGCTATTGATAGTTTTCTTTCCTCATGTATTTATACTGGTTTGATCATAGTAAACATATATATGCATACTTATAATTACTTTGCTTAAAATTACACAAAATATACTTTATATTAAATATATATTAACAACTAAATCACTATATTAAACATGAATAATTTATAACTATAAAATATTATGATCTGGGATGTTTTAATATTAAAATAATAGGCACCTGGCATTGCAAATATCTGCTACAGGAAAAGCTATATTAAGAAATATCATATAGTAAACAACTTAGAGAAAATTTTCTAAGCAGATGAAAATATCGTTCTCATTTGAGAAGTACAATTTTTATGATAAAAACACAATTAACATTTAGTTTTAGTAATTCTTATTTAATTAAGACTATTATGTCTTAATAAATAATCATAGAAAGAAAGAAATCTAATCACTTATTTGAATCTTTGTTTCCAAAGACAACTACTCAAAAGCTTACAGTTCCAATTATCTTGTCCTGCATAAGGTGGTAAAAGATAAATCCAAGTTATGCTCTCATTATCTTTCTGTATCCTTACTGGTAATGACATTTTCCATTGTAAGCAGAATTCTATAATTGACTTTCATAGAATGGATTAGATTTTTTTCACTAACACACTTATTATGCAACTGACAAAGGAGACACTGGGCAGGGAGTTATAAATCAACATGGTATTTCTATGGTCATATATAAGTGATATATTTGCATTATGTTTGGATTATCACATGCATACACACATATGTGGGATACTTCTACTCCTTAACTAGAAGCTCAGAAGGAACAAATATAGAATGAAAATCAGCCAATTAAGGCCTTCATTATGTTCTCTTAAAGCTAAAATTATGCTACTGTATTTTAAAGAATATGCATGACATCTATTTTAATATTTAAATTGAG